TCCCTTTAAAGCTCACAAAGACTTCCTATCGGTAACTTACACCTAATAGGTCATCTCATCGGTAAAACGAAATAAAAAGCTCTTCAGTGACTCTCTCTGCTGCCGCCTCATGTCTTGAAGGTGTTGGATTAGTCCATCACCTTCCATACTAGTCGTGAAACTCTCAAGGAAAGCCTTCTTGAAATCTGGCTAACTTCTAATACTTTCCTCTAGAAGTCTAGTATACCACATTCAGATGTCCCACTTAGGGTTAAGTGGAAGGCTCTATATTTCACAGCAAGAGTGGAACCCTTAGGCTCATGTAAGTTTTGAAGCTGTTGAGGTGTGTCACTGGATCGCATCTTCCATCATACTTGAAAATTTTGGGAAGTATGAAGTGGCTTGGAACAGGGACGTCCTTAATTTCCTCATAAAATGGCAAGCTGTCATCGAGGCCACAAGACCTTTGTGGTTCGTTGGAGTCTTCATCTTCTCTAACTTATGATCCTCGAGGTGGTTGGGATGGTCCTGCTTGACTCCTAGCTTGTTCAACCTTCCTCTGACGCCTATTCCTAGGCTGTCTTTCGAACTAGGGTAGTCTCTGCTGCCTATTTCTAGGCTTTCTTGGGCATAACCTATCGAAGACACTTATGGATAATCTGAGGATGTCTTTTGGTTGGCAATTCGGAGGAAAGTTGAATGGGACCTCATTGAGTCGATCCGTGGCATAGTTGATAGATGTATCAACCCCAACTTCCCTTTCCTGAGGGGTTTCATCCCTCATGTAGTGTTGGTAATTAGCCATTTGGTTTTGGATCTCCTCTTCGCCATGGTAGTAGTTCCCTTGTGGTGGGTCGTGAAAGAAATCATTTCCTTGAGCTGCGTATAGGGGGATTGGATATCCATCTTGGTTCTGCATATCACTTAACAGCTTGTACGTGACAATATTTTGCCAGGTAATATCTCTCATGTTTGTGGTCATGGTGGCCACCTCCCTAGTGATTCTAGTAGCTATTCTAGATCTCCCTCTTGATCTACCTCGCTGGTGTTGCTGATAAAATCTATGGCAAGTTGCTGGAGCAACATGTGAACATTCTCCTTCTTCAGGGTGTTCCCGAACTCTCCGAAGCACTGACTCTTCATTGCCAAAACTCATAGTAATGTTCTATCCAACAACTTGAAACCAATCTGTTGACCCTGTTTTCCATCATGGTTACGTGGACAATAGATGTCAGACCCATTCGCATCCATACAAGTAAATTCCAATACATTTTGACCGAAGATCCGGATGGAGAAGGGTGGCATTTATGGACATGAGAGATTTTTTTGACGCAAAATAAAAATGTTCAAGCACCGGCAATATGATCAAATATAAACAAACAATCACAAACAATTCTACTAAAACTTAACTCATGCAAATAGATAGGTTATAAACAATATAGAGGGCTGAATATGTTTTTGAGTGTAAAGAGTTGCATTATCTTTTAATCAATTACAATAGTTTCTTATTTAAGAGTTATGGCCAACTTGTAGTTGTTGGATCAAAATCGATGGTCTCATCTCCTAGATTGAAGCTTCACATCATTCTGTCTACTGTGCATTTAATACATTGATAACGAGCCAGCTGCCCTACTCCCTAGGCGGCAATCCTAACATTTATTAAAATAAACGTTACATTAATCAATTCTTATAGATTGTCTGCGGATCTCTTAAAAGACAGTAAGTGCTTTAGCCTAAAAGAGGGTTTCAGATGATGAGGATGCTTCGGCCAATGAGAGCTTCAGATAGAAATAGGGCTTCAGCCACACAGGAGAACTTCGGATAGAGACAGGACTTTGGCCACATAAGAGTCTTGGAATAATGGAGATCAGCTTTTTCTTTGACTTATTTATCTTGATCGATGGGTCTTTGTTAACTTTGTCAGATTCGACCTAATATCTTTTTGTGGACTACAGTCTGACCTCCACGAAGAGCAATGTCTCTACTTGGACTACAGCATGGCCTCCACTAGGAGTCTTGGTGGCGAGACGTAACAAATTTCAAACTCAACTTCTTGTAAAATGAAAGTAAAGGGCAAATGTAATAAGCCATTGGAAAGATGGGTATACAATAGTCGAAAACTCTGATAATTGAGTTAGTGAGCTCGAAATATGTTTACGTTCAATTGTATATGTGAGAGAATTGTGCACATTACGTATCTTTTTTTAAGGAAATGACTCTTATATAGGAGTTTGAACGTCCAACACTGTTACAATCACTTTAACCAATTGAAACGTGGCATGAGGACTCGGACAGTCAAGTGCTTTCTTGATTCTTATTGGTTGATGTGGACAGTATGTCAGGGTAAACATTGCATCTATGGTAGACAAGCTCGGACCGTGTAAAGGATGTTGATTAATTGGTCGATTGGCATTGAACGTTTGTTTACTCGGCAAATTCTGTGAAGCGATCATTACTTTGATTCAGATTCTTTAGCTACCGTTTGACACTCATTTTTTTCTCATTCTCATTCTCATTCTCTTTCTTCATTTCAATCACACATTCTATCAATAAAATAATATTACACATAAACCTAAAAATCTCCTTACTTTTTAACCACACTTTCTTCCATCAATCACTAAAGTTTTTGTGTAAAAAAGTGTTTTTAGAGTGTCAAACACCCCCTTAGTATGCAATCATTTTGCTCTTCGACTTGAATATAGAGCTTGGAATGCTGTGTTATTATGTTTTGACCTTAGTATCGGATATTTTAGCGAGATCATTCTCAAGTGTTTACCTCACATGATCGATATTGTTAAGACATGAGATGAATAGGTGATGCTTTTAACTTTCATTGCGTAAGAATACATCCTCGTTGACATCTAGCTCGACATATTTCATGGTATTTTTCGAGAATTTAACTGAACAATTATCATTTGTTTGCTTCTATAAAAAGTGTGACATGCACACAATTTTCGTAAACCGTGTCTTTTAAGAAATAATAAATCAAGTAATGCCCTCAATCCACTTTATAGGTAGCATCGGAAAGATTTGAAATTGAAATTTTAATCTACATGGAATCGTGGTAGCATAAAAAGAAAGGCATACAATATTTGAATAAATTTAAATTAATGCCCCTTGCTCAGATGGTTGTTGTATTAATAAATGTTCACATTCGAGTGGCTCTGATTGTCTGCTATCTGTCGCGTACGTGCCATAACTTTTTTATTTATTTTTTTATTTTATTTTTTGTTTCAATTTGGTCATCGAAGACACTTCCGACACACAAATTAACATCATTTACTGCATGTTTTGCTTGGACAATATCGACGCTAGTGTGGCTAGCTAATTGTCCATACATAGTATAATCACGTCTTTCAATTCATAATAGTGATGTTTATATTACACGCCTTCTCGTCATAAATGAAAAATTAGGATTGCACTTCTCAACTTTTTTGTGGGATGTAAATTCAGAATTTTATATTAAAAATTCAATTCTAAGTCACCAATCTATTTAAATATGTAAATTTGAATCCCCACGTAACAAAAATCATCAACGTGACTTAAAATTAGACGGCAAAACCGTCAAACTACATAACATATCACCCCCAATTCAATTGTAATTTGTGTACGCTTTAATGCCTACATTTACGATTTTCGTTAAGTGAAGATCCAGATTCACATATTTATTTAAGCTGGGGAATTAAAACCTCACTATTGAAGGTTGGAGATTCGTAACCACGCCACATAAAAAATTGAAGAGCTAACCTTCATTTTCTCCATTAAAAATCGTATTTCGATGGCATGGCTCAACACAAGCCTTTCCTTTGTTGAGTTGTACTTTCTTATAGTTAGATATGGTCCACTTTAAACAAGATTTAGGGTGTGTTTGAGCCACATTATTTTAGAAGAATGTATTCTGAAATAATAGATTGATGGAAAATGTGTGGTTGAAAAAAAAGGAAAAGTTATTGATGTGATGGAAAATATTAATTTATTGAAAAATATGTGGTTGAAAATGAGTAGAATAATGAGAATGAGAATTTTAATGTGTACCTAACAATGTAAATTGATGGAGAATGTGTAGTTGAAAAAGAAGGAAAAGTTATTGATGTGATGAAAAATATTATTTTATTGAAAAATGTGTGGTTGAAAATGAGTAGAATAATGAGAATGAGAATTTTAATGTGTACCAAACAAGGGCTATTAATGAAAAACGAGTCGAGCATATTTTATACATCTAAATCTTGCCGAGTTTAGTCTCCGTTAAGGAAAAAATGTTAATAACTCTATTATATTAATTGCTTCCAAAAATGTCTAGCCGTTGGTTTCAAGGCATATCAGAAATTAAGGTGACATGAAAAAATGCTAATGAGATTTATGAGAAATTTGTCACCATAGCAAGTCACTATATTGCATAGTAAAAAGTAAGGGCATGTTTTCAAATTCAGTTGGACACTAATATACAGTATTAAGTCCTCGTTTGGTAGAAATTAAAATTAAATTTTGATAAAAGTCGATGAAATGTATGGTTGAAAAGTTATGAATTCCATGAAATGAGTGAATATAATTAATTGTTAACTTTGACTTGAGATTTTAATTAGATTTTAATCCAAACCAAACAGAGACTAAGAAAATCTAAAAATTTATACACCGTCACGTTTCATACTGCACAACAGACATGCTTAATATACGTGGAATTTGGTAGATTAAATAAGAGTCATATGATGAATTTTGTGAATGTTTAAAATATTGAATTATGCATACTAAACATAGATTGTATGAACCGATAATGTCTTCTCCAGACATTGAACAAATGGCATAATAGTCAGAGAAATTACCCAAAGAAGATAGAACTCACTACAATATCCATAATCAACCCACTAGAAATTTCAAGCCTCTAAACCAAAAATATTTGAATACAATATTATAAACATAAAATATGATGATTAATTCAGCGCTAAATTGATGATATTGCATGCGTGAATAATACGTTTGGCACACAGTCTTAAAAATTCTAGTCATAGAAATGCCCAATTTTTTTAGGCACAAGAAATCCCAATAGAAGTCGCCGGGAATCTATCGGAGGCTGTTCTTCTTACCAAAGACCTAATTTCCGGCTCGAATTCCGGTGCCTCTGGAATCGCAGAAAGTGCACTGGACGTATCATAAGCAACATAAAATCCTTCACCTGATTTATTATGTTTCGACCTGAAAACAGATCGGAGTAGCTTATGAAAAGACCGCGATAATTTCGAAGTTTTTCTGTTCGAAATTTGTGGCGGCGGTTGAAGGTGGCGATCGGATAAATGCGGCATCGAGAGAGTTCTCGAAGATATGGCGGAATCGAGTTGTTTTTCGAATGCTTTCTTCTCGAAGGAATCGTACAGTGAGCTACCACAATCCCAAATCGGAGGCCGATTGGTGATCTCTGATTGCTTTTCTTTCTGCCCTGATTCTTCTATTTTCTGCATTTTTTCGTGTTTTGAGGGTGACGGCCTGTACGGAGACTGAAAGTGGAGGAAGTTTCTTTGACGTGTTTTTGTTTGGATCAAAAGGCCAAAGTTCAAGTCTGCATGATATATACTAGTGCCTGCTGCTGAACTTTCTTGTGGTGAAACGGTGACGTTTTGAATGGTCATATCATGTCATTAATTTAATCACTATCTCTGGAAAATCAATTTTCTAACATTTGTGATGAGGACAAAATGGTGTTTTAAACAAGAATTTAGAATCAAATGAAATATCGATTCTCTAAAGAGGTTTGAACTGAGCTATATAATATGCACGAGGAGAATCAGTAGATTGAGGAGGGTATACCACTTGTGTTAGGAAAACGTGGAAAAAATAATTTAGTCAATGCCGAAATAGTTATGAACATATATGTTATCGGTGTCGACATGTCGGAGATGTCACGGGACATATTCCCCGTTTTATCCAGATACATTGACGAAACGTCAACAATTCAACATTGCAACAATAATGTAATAGTCCTACATAAAACTAACAAGGCAATAACATTCTACGACAAGACAACAACAATTTCATTTCATTATAAACTCTTACCAATATATCAAAAAAATAGTGTGATAAGCATAGTACTTGTTAAATGCTAAATGTATCTGTGTGTAATTCGGCGATTTGAAATTCAGTGTGAAGCAACTAGCAATTTAGCAGCGAGCAACCAACAGTCGAATTAATACACCTTGTTACTAACCACCATGTCATTCTGACTTTTGTTCATACTAGTCAAAATTGAACGCACATTACACATTATACTACAAAAGTAATGTTTGATATCAATTTGTTGGGGAGATTTGATTAGTCTTAAACGAACTAAAGAAAATAAAGTTTAAGATAAAAAATTTTAAAAAAATTGTACTCTCAAAACTCAATTTTTATGATTCAATTTTTTTTGTGATTATGAAATACTACAAATGAGTAACATTTATATGCTACATTTGGTACACAAAAATTAATTACTAATACATAAATTTAAACACCCATTAAAATTTCTGGATATATGAATAGAAAGAAATTTATTTATAATAACTCAATATTCACATAGATCAAGATTCATTAAGTCTAGATTAATGTAAATATTAATTAATTGAGAATTAATAACACGAAATTCATACATGATAATAATTTTGTAGTATTTATTACATATTGAAAAATGAAAAATAAGATAATATTGAAATAATTGAATTGTAGTAAGGGTAAAATCGTCTAACAAATGATTCTCACTTTATGTGATATTTAATATATTATAGATTATAGATAAGTGATCACTTAACAAATATATGTACACTATAGAAACTTAAAAGTTTTAATTTTAATCACTTATAACTTTATTTATTTTTTAAAAATAAAATATCAAACTTGATAAAATTCGTGTAATTTAATAGTAATAATAACATATGATAATAAGTATACACTATTTGAAAAAAAAAAAAAA